CGCGAACGGGCTCGTGAGATCAGCCAGGGTGGCTCCCCCTTGGGGCTCCCAAATGATGCCCCTGGCAGCGTTTTGTGATCATGAGAGAGTGTGAGTGTGAGTGAATGTGACTGTGAGTGAGTCTGAGTGAGAGCGAGTCTCATCTTATCTTATCGAGTCCTATCTTATCTTACCTTTATTACCATCTATCTTATCTTATCTTGAAATCTCTTATCTTGTATTAGCTTATCTTATATCAACTCATCTTATCGCATCATATCTTGTCTTAGCTTATTACTCCATAGGCTGTCTCATCTTATATATTATTCTACCTTGTCATACATCTTTTCTTACCTTATCATATATTGTGCTATCTTATCTTATCTTGTAATATATTATCTTGTCTTGTCTTATCTGGTGATTATCATTGGGAGGAGGGAGGCGGGAGGCGGGAGGAAGGAGGAGGAGTGGGAGGCGTCAGAGTAATAACAAGAACCCCAATCCTTAGGATATGGGGAAAAAGAAACACTGCCCTAGATTGGCCGGCTAGAATGAGCGCAGTTCAGACTTCAGAACGGCATATTGTTGGAAGCTCAGAATGATCCATTCGTGGTCGGTGCGTGGTTGCTTCTTCTTGTTGAAGCGACCGAAACTAAACTTTCTCCGAAGTAACCAATCCCTCTCCGAATCCTTCCAGTTCTCATGATCCAAGGCAAAAATCCTTCCAATCCGTTCCATAGTACTGATACAATGTTTTTTCCATCTGTAAACATGAAAAAGATAGTGGTGTCTTTGGGAGCCAAGGGTCCGTTCTATAAACTGGAGATAATCATAGTATTTGTATCGTACAGCCAAATTCATGATACGAGTGGGGTCATACTGCTGCACCTTTGCGACGTGACCAACCCAACGGTGACCCAACAGAAGTACGTATTAATCCCAAGGAGAGACCACATGTTTAAGCACATGTTTGTGCAGAACACGGTGCAGTGTCGACATGTAACTCGCCATCTCCTCTTCGTCGCACTTGCGTAGACCAATCATATACCTGAGCATCCTGGTCTAGGCTGCTCGGATCATGCTCAGATGTTGTTTGGTGAAACTCAGGCTACCAAAACAGAAACAAGCAGCTTGACGGACCGCGGCATCCAGTAAAACAACACGCTTGCCAAGGTTGGTCTTCTTACCACAGAGAATTGACGACGACGACGACGGCGACGACGACGACGACGACGACTCTGCGCAATACGCCCCGATAGCTAAACCGAAAGGACCTGGGCGGGGTGGGCTACGGGGTGGGGTCCCCATCGGCGATCGATGGGCGATTGGGGGAGGGCATCCCCCTAACGTTGCACTCTTGGTCTCTTCGCCTGGCCCCATTCCCAACCGCCCGTGGTCAGCAGCCGCGGCGGGGTGGCCGCACCGACTGAGAGGTGCCCCTCCCCCAGGCCGCCCCGCCAGCAACCGGCGGAGCGCGACGGCAGGCAGCCCGTGCTCACCCGCGGCGGCGGCGGAGCGCGCTCCAGGCGCCGGGAGTGCGGGCAGGATGTGCATCCGTATCCACTGCGTCATGGACCATTTGGGAAGGGGCGCCGAAAGGCCGAGGCGCAGTGGCCATGGATAGACATCTGGCCTCCAAGGCGCAGTGGATATGGAGACAAATCTTGCCTTCGACGAAGCCAGGACGAGAACAATGTCGAGTGAGGATCATTGGGGAATCCTTGAGATGCTCAGGAGGTGCATCGGGCGCCGCAGCCTTCTCAGAGCGCCTCGCAACGCTCTGAGAGCGTTCCAGAACGCCCTGGAGCAGATTCATCCTCGTCCCTGACCCGTCCGATTGCCCGCACGGGCGGGCCTGGGACCGCTGCAGCAGGCTGGCCACCCGGATCCGGAGCTTCGCGGGCACGGACGACTCGCGCGGGGCGGGCGGGCGGGGGGGCGGGGCGGAGGCGAGGGCCGCACGGGGCGAAGACGAGGGGAGGCAGGCCCGCCGCCAAGCTGCAGAGCTCTGTACGGGTACGGGCGAGGCTCGCCCGGCGGAGGAGCTCGCCCGACGCCCAGGTCCGGAGCTCTTGGCGGGCACGAGCGGCTCGCCAGGGGATTCTGGAGGTGCTCTGGGGTCTTCGGGCGGAGGGGGTTCTACATGTTCTCTCCCACATGCTAAGCGTGGTTATGCTTTCCTCCACTCCCGCGTCGCACCGGCGTCTCTTCTCCTCCCCTCCTCCTCCTCCTTCTCGTCGTACACTCACACCACACACACACCACGCACACAACGAACACACAGCAAACATCAGACACACGAACACACACAGACACATCAGACACACACCAGACAGCACGCCTCCACATATACCACACCACACACCATACACGCATAACGCGTCAGCGCCGGCGCCGGAGTCGGCGTCGGCGCCGACGCTGCAGTCGATGCGGCGCTGGGGACGGTCAGCCCATCCTCCGCCAGTCGCTCGTAGTCATTATTGCGGTGCTGCTGCTGACGGTGTCGAAGTGCTCCTGGCCGCCCCGTGAGACTTTATGTGGCGGGTCGGTCAGGACATCGGAAATGGCGTCGAGGCTGGTGTTGTTGATGCCGGCGTGGACGTAGGCACTGGTGTCCCTGTAGGTGTTGGCGCTGGCGTTAGCGTCGGCGTCGGTCGATGCCGTGACTCTTGCCTTCATATGGCCAACGGGCATGCCGAGCTTGGTGCGGGACTGTGCGATTGCTGCCGTGGCCGACCTGTCGGAGGAGAAAAGCACGATACCGCAGCCTAGAGAACTCCTGGGATTGGTCAGCGAAAATGCTACATTCGAGGATGTGGCCGCAGGGGCTGAAGGTGACGAACAGGGCGTCGTCCGATGCAACGGTCCAAGTTCTGCACGTGGATTGCGGATAATGTGGTTGTCGAGGAAGGAGCCGTTGGTGAAGGCGTCGTCGATGCGGGCGCTGGTGTGGGCGCTTGGCAGGGCCACGGCGTCGGCGCTGGTGTAGACGATGACGGTGCTAGTGTCAGAGAAGTCGGTGCTGGTGCTGGTGCCTGCGTCGGCGATGCGAAGACTGGGATGAGGGGCGGCAGCATGAGTGAGTCCTGGCAGCGGTGCTGTAGGTCGCAGTCCTCGTGGTGGCACTGCTGTTGGGAAACTAGGTGGTGGTGCTGGTATTGCTGGTCGTACTCGTGGTGGTGTTGCTGGTTCCACTGGTCGTAGTGGGGGTGGCTGCGTGCTGTGGCAGCTCGCCTGGCCTCAGCAGCTGCCTCCCTGAGATCACGGTTTGTTGGGAAGGCGACCCCTGGCCTGGGCCTCGTCCCGGCCTGGTTCCTGGCCTCATCCTGGGCCTGTTTCTCGGCCTTCACCGCCTCAACCAGGTCCAGGACCCCAAGGTCCTCTTCCGAGTTCCCCACCACCCCCAAATTGTCCAAGGGGTCCTCCGACGCCTCCTCGACGCCAGGCCTCCTCCAGGTTGCCCTTCTCCTCCTTAGCCTTTGCCTGGTCGTAGGTGCACTGGATGCCGTAGCCGTCGGCGTTGGTGTCGGCGGAATCCAAGGTGGTGGAAGCGCCAACCTCGATGATGATGATGATGATGATGATGATGATGATGATGATGATGATGATGATGATGATGATGATGATGATGATGATGATGATGATGATGTGCCTGGGGATGTAATTGACGGTGTGCTGGGGCCCGGTGCTCTGGTCGGTGCTGGTGCTGGCGTCGGCCTTGAAGTGGGCGATGGCGTGGGCACGGGCGTTACGTTGCTGATTCCAGTCGTTCTGATGCCAATCGTACTCATCCATGGTCATCATTGTAAGACCATCTGCGTAGTTGCGCCAACGGCGGGCGGCGTCTACGAGAGGCCTAGGCCCGGATGGGCCCGTAGAATACTCGTAGACCAATGTTGGCGCTGATGCTGGTAGTTGAAAGGTCGGCGGCTGCCGCAGGCTGGCAGCAGGGGACAGGGGGTCGGTAAAGGCCCCCTGCCGCCTGCAGGTGTTTCGCGGGCGCTGCGGCCGCCATCGCGCGGCGCCGCCGCCAAGCTCGTCGCTGCCCGGCACGGGTCGGGGCTCTGATGACCCGGGTCAATCCAGACCCGTTTCAGCCGGGCCTTGCAGAATCCTGCAAGATCCTGCGCCCAAACCCAGGTCAATGCAAAAGATCCTGCAAGATCCTGCAAGATCCTGCACCCAAGCCCGGGTCAATGCGACCATGGCCCTGCAGGATCTTGCACGATCCCGCACTCTGGTTGACCCCCGCTTGCATTGACCCCCATGTCAAGGCTAAGGGCCCCGTAAACCCGGACACGCTGAGCACGGACACCCAACATCCCTCGAAATCAATGTTTCCAAACGGCGGCACGAACAACATTCTGCACTGCAACATTTCTAGAATAAACCCAGACCCAATCCCTAAAAGGCTGCAAGACACCGCTAAACCCGGACACAAACCCGAATCCTGCAGTGCATCTAAAAAAAATGCACGGGTGCTGAAACATGTGAATTTGAAAGAAAAGGTGTCGGTTCCTTGGTTTCCTGTGTCCTGGTTTATCTAAGTCCTGGTCTCCGGGGGCCTGAGGGGCTCCCGAACGGGCCCGGCCAGTCCCTCCCCGTGCACGGGGGGGTGTCCCCGCAGGTGGCGATTTGAGCCAAAATAACCACGGACAGCTCCTGCTCCTCCTTCCTCTCCTCCTCCTCATTCCTCTTCCTCCTCCTCCTCCTGCTCCTCCTCCTTCTCATTCCTCCTCCTCATTCCTCTTCCTCCTCCTCCTCCTCCTCCTCCGCCTCCTCCTCCTCCTCCTTTCCACGACCACCACCACCACCATCATCATCAGCACCACCACCACCATCATCATCAACACCACCACCATCATCAGCATCATCAGCATCATCACCATCATCATCAGAATCGGCATCATCAGCATCAGTATCATCATCGGGATCGTCATCATCACTACCACCTTCATCGTCATCACAACCATCATCATCATCATCAGCACCAGCATCATCAGAAGCATCATCAACATCAGCATCAGCATCAGCATCAGCATCAGCATCAGCATCATCATCATCATCATCATCATCATCATCATCATCATCATCATCATCATCATCATCATCCGCATCATCATCATCCGCATCATCATCGCCATCGTCATCGCCAACATCATCAGCACCATCGGCATCATCATCAACATCAGCACAATCATCAGCACGATCATCATCATTAGCATCATCATCGCGCCGCTCAACCAGGCCGGGATGTTTGGTGCGTCTTGGGCCAGGCGGGTCGAGCAGGACAGGACGGGCCACACCCCAAGCTCGGCGAGGGAGGAACGCGAACGAACGGCACGGCACACACAGCACAACACACACCACAAACACACACACAAACCGAACGAAACAGGAAGAAAGAACCCCCAAGTCACCCCGGACGGGATCCTGGCATTAGCCGCAAGTCACAATCGGTCGGAAGCGGCTGAATCTCAGCGACTGGATAGCTTGCTCTGATGCTCGGGCAAACAAGGTACTTCAACGAACGGGGCAGGGCTCAGTGACGCTAGTCCACAATTTGCCCGAGCTTGGATCACGGCCTGAGAGAACTGTGGCGTTTACCTGAAACAAAAAACTGCACACGCCAGATTGCCCACGGCACGGTCCCGGGAGCGTAACCCGAAAACTGGAAACCCAAAGTTGAATCCGAATGCGCTTTCTTAGCGGGTTCCGAAAGTACAGAAATCCACGACACGCTGTTGGCTCTGGCCGCCCCGAGAGGCGGGCGAGTTGAGAAGCCTGCAAGATTCAACTGTCACTAAGACTTTCCAACGCCACAGGCACGTGATTGTTACAGCTTACGCGGATCAGAGAAAGACAGAACTTGAGTTGAGAATTTCCCTCCTTACAAGCAAGGCGGGCTCGGGGGTTAAGCTTGGGCAGCCCCCAGATATGAGAAGGGTTTTTGGGACGGCGCCAGCTACCAGTCGGGGGCCCATGACGAGCCTGTCATCACGAACGGCATGGCGCGCGAATCCAGAGACTGACGACGACGCCCCCCGTGATCCACCCCCGCACGGTCTTCTGAATGCACGGCCAATCCAAATCAAACCAGGGGAGCTGTAAAACATCAACGGACACTACCCCGAAACCGAGGTTTCGAATAGTCTTTGACACGCCCCCCTGGCCTAAATACAACTCCAGAAAGACTTGTGTCATTGAGACCTGGGCGGAGGGCAACGGTTTGGCGGCCAACGCCTTTCTCAAAACTCGGCGCGCCCTCACTTTCACCTCACCGTCGCTCAGCGAGGCGCCGCTGGCAACGCAGGCAGCGGCGGCGTGCCCTCGCGCTCCTGGAGGATGGGCCCCAGCCTGGCGGCGACGCGCCGCCCGAACTCGAGCAACCCGGCTGGCGCATGGCGCAGCTCCGCCGGAGCCCTCGCCTGCTCGCCGTACTTTTCAGCATCGCGTCGCTGTGCCGACGCTCTCTGGACTTGACCTCCAGCGCTGAGCGCACCTTCGTCAGCAAGTCGTGCGAGGCGCCGCCGCGCCGAAGGCCGTAGACGGCCAGCCCCATCTGGTCCAGCCCCAGCGCCTTCGCCGACATCAGCATCTCCACGGACAGGTCGTTTCGAGCGAAGCTCCGGAGCCTGTCCGTCACTAGCTGACCGCGCCGCTTGAGCACTGCGAGGCACTCGCGCAGGCACCCGACTCCGTACAGCGCAACTCTCTCGTCGAAGGCCCCCACCTTTGTCAGCGCTCCCATCTCGCTCCGACCCAGCAGAATAGCCCACTGCTGCTGCCCTAACCCCGCGCCCGGCACCGGCGCGACCAGCTGCATGGGCGCGAGCGCGCCCAGCTCGCTAGGGAGGAGGTAGGCGTCGAGGGCCAGCAGCAGCGCCACAGCGTGCTTCTGCGAGCCTCTGGACAGCAGATGCCCCGCCAGCTCCACGGCAAGAAGCCACGGCACTGGCATCCGCGTTGCTCGCGAAGCCACCTGGGCCCACCCAGCCAGCGCCCCGGTCGCTCCGGGGAAACTCTGCGCGCCGTTCCTGCCGACCGCGGGGTAGTAGAAATTCGCCGCGGCTAAGGTCTTGCTGGCTACATCCCCGGCGCACCCCAGGAAGAACAGCCTGTCCATGCACTGCGCCAGCGCCAGGTCGAGCTCCCCTACCGCGGCCCAGCTCACCCCAGCCTGCAGCGCTCGGCTCAGGAAGGCCTCGGCCCCCCTCCGGCAGTCCAAGAAGGTCGCCCTGGCCACCGACCTCGACTCCAGGAAGGAAGGCGGGCGCGAGCCCGGGAGGGGCGCCGAATCGGGCGATGGCGCGCGGCACTAGGACCTCCTCGCGGTCGCCGCGGCGACAGACGCGACGCCCGCCATCTTCATCCAGTCGCCCAGTGGGGCCACCAGCTCCGTCCTCGCGCGCGCGCGGGAGCGCCCGCTCCTCGCCTGCGCCGAGGATCGGGAACTCTGGCCCGGCTGGAAGCGCCCCCGGCCCAGCGCCAGCCGCAGCTGGCTCCGCCTCGGCGGCCCCCCCACCCAGCTGCGGCTAGAGGTGGCGCAGGCCCCGAGACGGGTTATCTGCCGGGTTCCTCTCCAACGGGGCCCAGCGGACACGCGCGCGGAGGCGACGCACCAAGGCGAGGGCGCTGATGTCAAGAAGGATGTCCCGAAGCTGGAAGGCCGAGGATCGGCGCTTCCCGGCGGCGAGGGCCAACCCCAGGTCATCGACTAAGAGCAGTACTCGGCGTCCTGAAGCTCTCCGATCTCGAAGGGGATGTCGAAGCGAGCCCTCGCGCGCTCGTCAGCCTGGCGCATGCTGCCCAGCAGGTCGTCCGACATCAGTAGCTGCTCCAGCTTCGCAGAGGCCCCCTCGCCCCCATGGCGCGGGCGCGAGCGGCCGTGGCGCCTTGGCGGTGCCACCGGCGCTCAGCCGTCCGCCCCCAGCGCGCGATCTCCTCCACGGGCGCCTCGCGCTCGCAGACTCCGCAGCCCCAGTGCGAGGCGTCGCCGGCCGCGACCTTGCTGCGCCAGTCGGCGCCCGCGCGTGCCACCACCAGCGGCAGCAGGTTCCTGACGTGCCAAAGCTCCTCCTTCACGGCCGGCCACAGCTCGCCCTCTTCGATGCCCATGGACTACATGTAGGCGCACACGGAGCTGCATACCGACACGGACGAGCGCTGAACCATCATGATCCAGGTCGCATGGCCCACCACGATCTCGAGCACGTGACCTGAGCAAGTACGGCGACCCAGGAGATCCTCGATAGCCAGCCGCAGCCCCCACGCGCGCTTCGTGGACGCCCGCGCCGCGCGGCTGCGCCCGTCAAACGAAAGGCCCGCAAAGTCCGTCTGGCACGCCGCCCCGTCGGTCTCCTCGTAGATCGCGAAGCCCTCGCTGGAGAGCGCCTCCGCGACGGCCTGCCCCGCCGCGCAGACGTCCTGCTTCGCCGCGCCCATGGCCATGAAATTGTCGACGTACGCCGCCGCGCGCAGCGGACACCCCGGGCCCAGCGGGCGGGGGGCCTCGCGATCCTGCACAGGGACCTCGGCAGGCTGGCCGCCACGCGCAAGCCCCTCCTTCGTCGCCAGCTGGCAGAGGCCCAGCCCCAGCCCATCGGCAACACCGCCAGCAGCGGCACCAAGAGCGAAGCGCTGCGGCCCCGCAAGCCCACCGCGCCGCCGCGCAGGGAAGGCAACCGGAAGCAGGATCCATAAGTCTTCAGGCACCTCGATGGCATAGAAGGCGATGCTGATGTCACCACTGCTGACCCAGACGACCTCGCACTCCTGCGTCTCCAGCTTCGCGAAGGCGGCGGCCGATGGCAAGTGCGTCGGCGGCGGCGGCAGGACGTCGCTGTTTGCCAACCTGGTGTCAAAGATGATCCTCTGCATATGGTTCTTCTTCACGATACAGAACAGACCCACCGTGGCATTGCTGTCGCCAAGCTCTTCGGCGGGCACCAGGCGAGCCATGCCGCGACTCACCAATCCAGTCACAAAATATCCGTCGACTCTGTGATCCCGAAGTGCAGGGTCAAAAAAAGGACGTAGAAGTCCGAACTCAGACCGCAGGCTTACCGCTGCAGCTGGAGGCGTTCGCACGTTGGCCGCGTGACCCCACGGCCTTGCAGGGTGCTCGGCTGGATGCGCATCGCCGAAGGAAGCGGACTTCGCTCCCACAGCTGGCCAGGACACGGCGCCCTTGTTGCAGGGCACGACGGTTGTAGCGCACTCACCGCAGATGGCGGCGCTCCCGCAGAGCTCGCAAAGGCTCCAGCGGCGACGAACATCGGCAGGACAGGCGCCGACCGAGCAGTAGCTGCGCTCTAGGTGCTCGAGGCGCATCTGCTGCGCAGCGCTCGCGGCACCATCGCCGGCCAGGTCGCGTCCAGCAAGTGAGTTGAAGGATTGAATGCCGTCGCCGGCCCAGTTAAGAGCGCGGCGACGGCGGCGAGCACGACGGGCAACAGCACGGCAGCCAGCACCAGTCTGACCAGGGACAGGGAGAAGAGGCAAGGGGGAGATGTCGCGCTGGCGCACCATCACCTCGCAGCCGAAGATGCGAGAGCCTGCGCGCCCTGGGCCAGAGAGCAGCAGGCAGCCTTGATCGATGAAGTAGTCGTGGAGGTCAGCTGCCCTCCGCCCCACTCCGCCCCTTGGGCCCCTTGGCCTTGGCGAGCTGTCTCTCCTCGCATGCTTTGCGTCTCTCCTTGATGGCGCCCCCCTCGCGATCTGCTCGCTGGTGCAAGATGAAAGCGCCGGGGGCACCGCGGGCCCCCTCGTCGTCGCCATCCCTGTGAAGGAGTACTCCTCGTCCTGGTGCTCGATGCCCTCCAGGCCCAGGCGCATGACCGACCCCCGCTGGACGTGGTGCCCGAAATCGCCCCCTCGATTCCCCAGGATGAAGTTCGCCGCGCAGTGAGCTGTCCTCGGCCCTGGCGCCGCCCAGCCGCTCCAGTCGACGGCCCGAAGCGAAGCGACCCCAGATGCGAAGGCACGATCCCGCTTCCCGTTGGTCGAAGTCGCACTGCACGGAGAGTGCGCGGCGATCGCCCTGCCCCGTCGGACGCGATGGCCATCGACCCCGCGCCTGCACCGGCCAGCGCCGCAGCGGGCCCAGCGCCGCCGTCCGCGGCTGCGGGCGCGGCGGCAGCGCCACCCGCGGCGGCGGCTCCCGCTGCGGCCGCGGGCGCGGCGACCAGCAGGAAGCGGCCGGCGCGGCGCCGGCGGGCGCGCCCGGGGCGGCGGGGGCAGCTCCTGCGCCAAGAGCTCACCACTCCCTGCTGCCCCAGCGCCGGCGGCTGCGCCTCCGCCTCCTCCGAGCAGCTCGGCGACGACACCGGCTGGACCTCCTGCCGCGGCGAGCCCGGCCCCGCCGCCACCCGCGGGCGCTGCTGCACCCCCTGCGCCTGCCCCTGCCGCCCCTGCAGCGCCTCCCGCGGCGACCGGCGCTCTGCCGCCGCCATCTGCAGGACGCGCCGCAGCGACAACAAAATCAGCATCATGGCCAGCAGGGGGCATCCCGGCCTGCTGTCGCGAGAAGACCTGAGCTCCGCGAGCGTGAGAGGCGCGGCGACGTCGTGCACCCTGCGCTTTGCTCCGCCGGCAACTGGCGCGATGTCCCCGTCCGCGCGGATGAGCACGCGTCCAAGTCCAACACGGCACCAGCTCCGTATGTCATCTTTGCCCTCACTGAACCACTCGACGACCGGGTCGTGGTCTGGCGAGACCACCGTTGCGCGGAGCCCCGGGATCCCAAAGAGACCATGCAACCACCGAGCTTCTGGCCGCGCAAGGCGGCCCACAGCCTGGCGTCGGGCTCCCACAGCAAGAGGGCCCTAAGCCCAGGAGACCCCGAGTCCCGAAGATAATTCCGCCTTGGCCGGCTCGGGGCACGCCGGGCAAGGGCCCGGGCGCCCCGCCAGCGGCGCCGCGACCCCCCAGGGCAGGCACCTACCCAGGTCCGCGCACAGCTGGCCAGCCAGCGCGAAGGCGGCGGCGCGGCCGCCAGGCAGCTCCGCGCAGGCGGAGCGGACGCCGGCGCCAAGGCCGGCTGCGCGGCGGCGGCGGGCCGCGCGGCGGAAGGGCTGGCGGGGCCGCGGCTGGCCCACCACCACTGCCAATGAACTGATCGAAGCCCCCGAAATCTATGATGGCAACAAGAATGAGAAGCCAGAAGAACATCTGATGATATCTTCACACCGCTGGCGCGCTCGACTCACGGGCCTCAGAGTGTTTAGGCCAAAATGTAACAGTACGCTCACTATGATTCACTCATGACCTGCACAATAGCGCACTATGCACAGCGCATATCCCACCGTGAAAGAGCAAAACAAAGAACAGGGAGAAGCCCTCCCTTCAGTATGGCATGCGAAATCCAAATCCACTGTTAAGCATCTTAAGCATCTTCTGCACAAGCTGCAGAGACTGCATAAACCAAATGTATAAAGCTGATGTACAAAACCTGCATAAGAATGAAATGCAAACCTGCGTCTGCAAACTGAATCTGAAGTGCATAACTGACAAAACAAAATTACCAAAAGCTGCGCTGGTGCGTTGGCTCACTCACTGCAACCCTTGGGGCTGTCGTCTGCTGCCCGATCGTAGCCGTCCAGCCACTGGTTGGGTTCAGTCGTCTCCGCTGAAACCTTGCCTGCTCGCTTGAATCCATTCATCTTGTGACAGTATCGCCACTGATCTCCCTGCAGCCGGAAGGTAACCACAATCTGTGCACGAACCGTCCGCCGTCACACCTGCTTGTGGTTGCTGCTCGCTCTTGAGGTGGATGGTCGTCTACTTGTCGATGCTGGTCGTCGCTCTCCTCGGTCGTCTCACGCTTGTTGCTGGTCTCGGTCTGGTACTTCACACTGGAGTCGTCTCGATGCTCCATAAACTCTCGCAGTGTGTAGTAGACTGCTGGAACTGCCACTGTCATTCCAATTATAGCAAAAGCTAGTGCATCCAAAATGCCTCCAGAAGACCACGAACACATCGCGATCTCGTCATAATAGCACTTGCACTCTGTGTGGCAGTCGAACTCTGGAGTGTAGGTTGCCGCTGGCTTGCAACAGCGTCGCAAAAACTGCCAACTGCATGCTTGGTGTTCTGGCCTTAGATGATGTCTTCAACTTACTAGTATTGATGATATCTCGTCGCTCCTCCTTGGTCTTCTTCTTGGCTGCCGTATAGGTGAGGTCATGCAGTAGCTGAAGCCACCCAGCTCGAAGTCTGTCTACGAAGAGCTGCCATGCCGCTAACTTCGTGAGACCATCCGCATACTGCCGCTCTGATGAGACCCACTTCCATTGCGTCTGTGTAGCATCCATCCGTTCTCGTAGTGCCAATACCTCGATGCCGGTGCGCTTGTCCTGGAAACTGGCGACGCTCTCCCTCTTGGCTGCGTCGTAGAGCGCCTTTGCATCGATCGCGAGTACTGACTCTCCTGCGTAGTGCGTGCTCTCGTCAATTTTGATGACGTTCGCGTTGTCGTAGATGAGGGGGCTGCCCAGAATCGCCTCGCAAATTCTAGCGCGCCCACGCCTGCTGCCGCTGCCAGGGATTCTGCATGCAGCGATGACCTGGCTAGTCATCAACTTGAAAGACTGCCATGCAGCGGCGCAGAATCTGAATCCTCGCCGCCAAGTACTTCCGAGTGACATGCCAAAAGCATAGATCCTCCTTGTCTAGATCCGTCTGGCCGTACTTCACAAGCTGCGTCCGTCATCGCTACCGGCGCGATGTCGCTGACCTTACCGACCTTCTTCATATTGAGACCGACGTCCGCGTCCTGCCTGTAAAACCTTAGCGTCATATTTACCTCTCTGTCGCCGCTGTCGCCGATGGAAGCTACCCGCGGTGAATGCTGACCGACGCTGACGCACGTGGGCATGCTTGAGAACTTGGCCACTGTAGAGCTCCAAGTAGTCCTCGAAGTCGGCGTATCTCCGTTGGCGTGAGTAGTCGGTCGTTGTTGCCTTCCCTCTGGTCAATACTTCCGAAGCTGGAACTTGCTCTTGGCTGCCTCGATCATGTTGCTCTAGTTGCTGCCTGGCCTGCGATCTCCTCATCCCAGCATATCTTCTACGTAAAGTAGCAGCTAAAGAAAAGGCATGGATCCAGGAAGCGCTGCTTGAGCCCACTGGCCTTGAGGTCGTCAACTGCTCGGTGCCACGAACGTCGTGGTGCGTCCACTTGTCTCGTGCACAGGCTCAATCAGTGTCATTAGCGTGTCTGGTTCGATGCCCATGAGGTCTGCTGCGTCTCGTGGTACTTTGTCGTAGAGTACTCGTTATTGCGGCCATCCCTGTAGAAATGCGATTGCCACGTCCGCTGGCCACAATCTCCATCCGTTGCTTGTTGCCAGTAACAAAGCCAAGTGACGTCCCAATCGAAATGCCGTAAGTGATGCCGTCGGTGCCTTGCCGTCGAGTGCGTCTGGGTCGTTCAAGCCTTGTAGCACTAGACGTGCCCTGGCCCTCGGCGTGCCATCATCGCTCTTGGTCCACTCCATTGCCCACTTGGCCTTCAGGATGCGCTTGGGGTCTTCGTCTCCGGTAGGCTTATGAAACTACCAAATTTCATATCCGAAAAACTCCTCAAGCTCCTTCCGCTTGCCATCCATGAATGCTGCTCGCTCGCGTGGTATTATGGTCCTGGCACTGGTCCATGCGTAAATGTTATTGAGCTTCGCGTCGTTGCCGTCGAACTCCCATCCGGATGGTAGGTCCTTGTCCTCCAGCATGAGCTGCATGACTGCGAGCTCGTCGTCTGCGCTGTCGTCTCCCACTGGCTGAGACTCTGCCGTTGTTACTGATAACGGTGGCCCTCGATATACTCCTGCAGGTCTGGTAAAGATGGGGGCCCCCGCTCCGTCCAATCGCCTGCGACTCTCTTTTAACTTCCAACTCGCCGCGGCAGATGTTGGAGCCAGCGTTAGCGATCCCGACGACGCTGACGCAGCTGGCCCCAACATAGCTAGCACTGGCATTGGTGGTAGCAGCTGAACTGGAGGTGGTAGTGACTGTATATGCGTGGTTGGTGGAGTCGTTTGACTGCGCTGGTGGCCCCATAAGCTGAGGTGGGGGTGTCGGTGGTAGTGGTTCTTGATATGGTTGTCCTTCGCTTGGCTGTCTTCCATGCTGAGGCGTGCCCGGAACGCCCATCTGCTAGTCCTCTGCAGTGCTGGGCATCCCTGGACTGGGGGAGGGCAATAATGACATCTCCGTTGCTGCCGAAGCTGCTTCTCCAGTAAACGGTGCCCCCCTCTGTCTTGCTTTGGCGGTGGTTCGTCTCCTGGCCCATCGTCATCGCTGATGCCCATGTCCGAGTCGCCTGGCGCGTCGAAGGGGTGCTGCTGTGAGCTGACATCGCGGGGCTGCGCGACTCCGGCCCTCCTCGCGTTGCCGAGCTCCTCCTTGGCCTGCGCGGGGTTCTCCAAGAGAACATCCTTGATTGCTGACATCTGGTCGAACGTGTTCTGGGGGGCAACGTAACAGGTTTGCGCCGTGCACGATCCAGTAGATCCTCGGTCCGCTCTCGTCCTGCGTCATCTCCAAGAAGACCACGATTGCGGGCCCCTTCCACTTGTTCTCGGTGAGCTCGCTGGCCTCGCCCTCTCCCCAAAGGCGCCGCCGCTGGCCAATCGCAAGATCGCGCTTGAAAGCGACGCGACGTCGTAGAAGCGCGCGTCGTAATTTGGCCGAGGCGCCCGCCTTCGCAAACGCCGGTGCCGCCATTGACCTTCGCTCAAATACATTGTCGAAGTCCTTGTCCTCCTTCATCTGCTATAGGGTCGCCGGCGAGAACTTGTCGCTGGAAGCGGTCATGGTAGTTGTCGGATCCATTCGCAAAACCGACTGGCATGGTGAATAGCTCTTTGTGAGAGCCCACCGATTGACCTGACGTGGCACATAAATACACGCCTCCGCGATCAAACCCTCCGCGATAGCCGCCCTGGCTGCACGGTCGATAACATATGCGCAATAAAGCTCCACTGCCTCGCGAACAATCTGATGCCGACGCTCCACCGCTCCCAAACTGGAATGCGCCTCGCCCGCAGCAATACCGATCGAGATAGTACGCTGTTCAAAAAAACTGTGTAAAGCGATCCGAAGCAAGACCTGAACCACCGTCTGTCCGCACTTCTCCCTTGGGTCCAAATTGCTTGATCCAGCCACGCTCAACTGCCTTGATCAACTCCTCTGCCGTCTCGGTCTTGATGGTGCGTAGTGCACAGTAACGCGTGGCCACGTCGATCATCGAAAGAACTGCCGTCTTGCCGCTACTATTCTTGATCCAGAAGACGTCCGCACAGATAATATCGTTGAACTTGGTGGCCTGCTTCGCTGGCGCATTGGGTGTTTTTGGTGGACGTTGTCTGGCCATGCAGTGCTCGCACCAATACTCCGATGCACGCTGTAGGATGTTGTCCTGGGCGCCTGCCCGTTGAAATAGACGATGTGGCACTGCTGGACTAGGGTGCCCCATGTTCCGGTGAAGTCTCTTGACGTAGCGTAGCGCCTCCGTGCCGCACTGCGCTCGTAGGCGACCGTGCTGCTGAGCGTCGCGACTGGGATCCGAGTGCTCGGATGTGGCACCCCACTCCGATTGCGTTGAGTCCTCCGCTGCGTAGATGTCCTCGATCTCAGGCTCGACCATGACTTGCGCCATAGCCGATGCTAGGATGAACGGGTCGTCCTCGGCGGGCGCGGTGAGCTTTCGCCCCTCCAGTAGGTGGTGCCCATGTGATCGGACGCATCGCTCGCTGAGAACTGTTGACATGAACTTCTTGGGCGTCTTAAAGGTCGCCGGCTCCTTGACCATGTTCGCGCTGCCCTCGATCGCATGGCCGCGCATGCACTGGTCGAACGTGCTGCGTTCACCGCGTAGGCGGCTGAACGCCACGGCATGCCGCGCCCTCGACGCAGCTGGATGTTCGATGTGAGCACGTCGCCCTCCCTCCTGCTGCATGCGATAAACCTTGGCGAAAAACTGTACACGCACTCGATGTTGCCATTCTCGTAGCTCGGTGAGGTATTCTATCAAACCGGGGCGCTGGTGGACGTTGAGCTCCTGCAGTTTCGACCAG